TCTCAAAAAGGCCCCAGAGAAAAGAAATTCCTTCTCATGCAGGCATTAACAGTAAGAGCAGCAGCTTCTAGATCCCACACTACATAGCCTTAGTTTTTCTCTTTGATATGCTGCTGAGAAGTCACCTTTAATCTGTTAACAGCACTTTTTATAAATCATGTCCTCTCTGAGACCAAAGTTTGCCTGAACTTTTTACAAGTCATATCCTCCCTGAGACATGAGGGACCTGCCTTTGTCAAGACCTAATCTGGAATCCTGGTTCTGAGAGATATGCATGCCTGGTATTATTGCTATTTTTAGAGAGTTGTTAATTATATCTGTATTGGGTATATAAACTGGAAGCCTTGTGGGACCCATGAGAATTTTTAGAAAGATCTTTTGGAGAATTTTTTAAGGAGGAGAATTTTTGTTTTTTAATAAAACACATCAGAATTTTAGTGCTTGAAGAATACACCATGTGAAATCACAAGAACATCAAAAGTCACTAGGCTTCAAAAATATATTATCAGATGCAGTAAAATATTAATTAACCCGAAGTCTGCATCAGAAAGAAAAAGGTATGGAAAAATATCTAAATTGTTTACTTGAGAAACACACACTTGAAACAAAGTAAAAGAATGTTACAGTACAAATTAGAAAAGCCAACAGTGACTAGCTTATTTTTGTAGACTAAACTACCTACCTTTGATACTTAACCTTTTTGAAAAACAAAACAAAACAAAACAATTCCTTCTTTTTTTTCCAAATATTTCTTGGGAATAACCATGAAATACCTTGAAATAACTTCAATATAAAGTATTCAGAAAATTACTGCCCTTTTTACTACCATTTCTTTTATATTGGGGAAGTATGTCTGTCTGATAAATGCATACCAATATTTCCCTTTTTCTAGAACTGCAAAAATATGAATAATAAGAAATCAAATACTTATAAACTTTACTTAGCTTTCCAAATAAAATTAAAACCCTGGCAGCTAGAATCTCTTCTGGGGCTTGGTGACTACAGAAGTCAGTTGGCAATTGATATAGGAACTTAATGTCTTCCTATTATCTTAGATGACATTTGCACCATTTCTGCAGCTACACTGGAACCCTCTCACAAACACTACCACAGTTTAGTCATTGAAGCCAAATGAAAGCTGCTCACTTTTAAGAAGCAAGTTAACAGTTCATATAGAACTGGTCAGTTATGATACTTTTTAATCAAATGTAAAAGTTTCAAAGCTATCACTCAACTATGTGATGGGAACAATGGTGCCATATTAAAAGTTAGCAATGGACTCTTTAGGCCATCTAGTCAAGAAAATGTAAATGCTATGTTAAAACCAAACAATAAGTAAACTACATGTTAAATAAGGGTTTTAAAGCCTTCTTTCATAGAAAGAATGCTCCTTAGCTTTCATTTATTCCCCAAGCAAAAGTCTGAATATCCATGAGCCTCAGTTAAACCAATGGCACTCAAGCAACTGTTTCACAAGTCCCACCTATATACTCAAATGACATAAACATGAATGAATGATGCAAGTAATACTATGAACAATTACTGAACTGGAGTGAAATAATAAGAATCATGACAATCTTCAAGATTAGCCAGTCTCTAAAATGGCATAGTGTAGTTCAGGATAAATTATACTATAATTAAACTGGTTTTTATTGCTACACAAAACAGTAACAAAATAAAAAACATAACATCAAATTTATTCAACTGGCAGTGAATACATTTCCTTCCTAGTTTTTAATGTCTTATTTGAGTTTTTCTCTTATCAAGTATATTTATCTGAGCATATATAATTGTTGCCTGTGTATGTACTCACTTTAAAAGACAAACACATTTAGATACTTTATAGAAATGAACTTTTTCTCCAGTCTTATTCTTCCTTACACCATGCCCCATCTTAATATAAAATTCTCAGTTTTAGTTCAGTTACAAGGGCAGAGAAGATGCAAATACAGATGATGTGTGTAAATGTCACTGTATTTTTTGTAAACCTGATGCTTTCTGTAATACTGTTTATTGACCAAATACAGGGTTCAACACTGCTCTTAGGTTCTAGAAACACCATTACAAATTGAAAGCTGATCTTATATTGAACCTTAAATTTTCAATAGTTCGAAGAGACAGCTTTACATGTATAGCACAGTAGTTGAATCTTTCACTGTTTTCTTATAGAGGAAACAAAAGCCGAGATGGTGAATTTCGGATATCATCACCTTCTTCATCTTGAGACGATGCCCCTGGTTGGATGCACTGGTTGAGGCTGCAGCAAGCTGGGCTTGTTGGGCAGCTTGCTGCATTTGAAGCCATTCCTGCTGGGCCAATTCTGCTTGCTGCTGCCTAGCTTTTGCAAATAATTCCTGTTGCTGTCTCATCAATTCTCCAGGAATGCCAAGGTTTTCCAAACGAGAACTGGCCTTTCTTCTTTTTAGTGCAATTGTCTTGCATTCTTGTAAGACATCTTTTACTTCACTGACGTAAGAGCCAAAGCCCAAACTTTCTAGGGCTTGTATGACATGCTCTGGTGAAATTGTCTTCTTTTCCGACTTGTTGCAAATCTCATTGGCTTCAGAAGACATAAGGTGCAGCAGTTCACTACCAGCTCTCAGGCATCGTTGATCAGCAGGATGTTAGGGAGAGTCTCTTTGATCATCTTATTTATAGCAGCTCTGGGGATAGTGAGAACATCACCGTTGCCAGACAAGGAAGCCATGGTACCTTCCTGTCTTTCAAGCCCCAACGTCTTAAACTCCTCGACTCCAGGGTCCACCACTGCAAAAGGCTGCTCTGGGAGAGGGAAGTGGGAGTCAGGGAGCTCAGAAAGAGGGTGTAGAAACGAGGAAGGAGGGGTCCCAGGGCCGCGAATACCCACTGTGTGAGTGATTTTGGTGCGAGTCTGAAGAAAAGGTCAGGGTGCTGAGGCCCTGGGGACACCACTCCAGGGCTGGACGTCTGAGGGGCTGGAGAACTACCCTCCATGTCTCCTCAAACGGACTGACATTGTCGTCTAAGTGGACGCATGCAGGATGCAGGAGTAGCCGCCAGGGCGCAGTACCGGGGCGAGCCGACACCCAGCAGAACCGGCTGTACAGAGCAGTGCCCCCGCCGCCTGGGCCAACAACGAGTCTGCCCAGGCTGCTGCCAAACCACGCCGGTTGCCGAGAACGAAAGGACTGGGCCCAAAGAAGCGGGTCGCAGTAGCAGCAGCGAGCGCGACCACTTGGGCAACAGCGGATTGTGGAAGCTAAAGCAGCGCTAAGGAGGAGAATTTTTAAGGAGAATTTCAAAAGAGAGCTTTTAGAGGGAAAATTTTTAGAGAGAACTTTTGAGGACAAATCTTAAAGAGAGCTTTTTGAGAGAGAACTTTTGGAGAGAAATTTTTGAAGAGAACTTAAAAAACAAAAAACAAAACCTCCTTTATTTGAAGAATAAAGAGCCACGAGAGAAATGTGTGTATGAACTGATTCGTTCACCCGCAGATCTTATTAGTCAGCTCGACCTACCTGCTGTAAGACTCCCTTTTTCTTTAATGCTCTCCTGCCATACTCCCACCCAGCTTAAGGCACCCTGTACGCCCCAAGCTCCTCTTTGGTGGCACTGCACTCCCTTTTCTTGGGGACAGTCCTGCAGTCAGACTGCAGACTGCAGACTGGAAAGCTTTGCATTTTGACTCCAGCCCAGCTCGCGGTCTGGCTATAAGTCAAATCATCCTCAGATGTACTTTTACAAAACCACGATCATTGCCATTTCTATTGTTCAGAAAGTGTACCAAGGAAAAAAAGTCAGCTAACTTTTAAGAGACCCAAATATACACTGGTTTGAGACACATATTATAAAAGAGCTATCTAGCAGAAATATACAAGAGGGGTTTGGAGTTTCATTTCCTGATTTTTTAAAATTTTTATTAAAATAAATTATATCTTCGAAACATGCATGCATGCTTCACATGTCAGTCCCAGCTCCCCTCCCACCCCTCCTCCCCTGTCCCTCCACCAGCCCTCCCTCAGCCCCCTTCCCAATCCCCACATCATTCCCCAGGGAGGCTTTGACTTGCTGTCTTTTCCAGCAGGACTGAAGAGATTATTTTATCAGCCACCACACTGCAAAGAACTAAAAACTTCGTGTGTGTGTGTGTGTGTGTGTGTGTGTGTGTGTGTATACATAACAAAAAGAAATCCCGAATGTATCTGCCTCCTGCAAGGCAGCAGAAACGGAACTCAATGGGTTTAAAAATAAACACACACACACAAAATGAGGACACAGAGTTTGGTGGGTAGGGAAAGAGGGACGGATGTAGGAGGAGTTTGGGGGATGGAGTGAATGTGATCAAAACACATCGTAGGAAATGCTCGAAGAACTAAAATATTCTTAGAGAAACTTTAAAAGGGTATAGAAAAGGATAAACCTTCAAAAATGAATATGCTCACCATACATGAAAGCCAAGTCAGTTTCTGGTTGATGAGTTTGAAGGAAAAACTCACAAGATGCTCACAGAAACAGATTCCAGGGTGGGGCAGATTTTCAGTCAGTTATGTATCTGCACTGTGCGCTGAAATATAGTGAATGGCTTTTATTAATGGAGCCCTATTTGTCCTAGCTACCCCATATTTGGGCCTTGAAGAACCTGGTTTTGGAAGAGACCACCTTCCTTAGGAATCTTGCTATTTCTAAAAACTAAGAGACTTGGAGCTAAGGAGATGGAATAGAGGGAGTGTCAGGGAAACATCAATGACTGGAACCAGATTAACAAGGGAGTTCTTTATGAGCAATCTGGCTGGCTGCACTAGCTCTGAGCCCACACGAAAGACCCTACTTCAACATAAAAGGTGGGGATGATTAGGGAAGATATCCAGCATTAACTTCTGGCCTTCACATGTACATACATGCAAATACATACAAATGTACATACATGCATACACACACACATACGAGAGAGAGAGAGAGAGAGAGAGAGAGAGAGAGAGACTTCATGTGAACCTGCTTTACAAACTATGACTCCTTATACATGCAGAAATAACATGGCTATTTTATTGCACTAAAGTCATTGTATTCAATAAAACAAGAGAAATAAATGATTTTATTCTACAAAGTTGACATCTTACAAAACCCAGCAGTAACGCTTTGGATGAGAATGTGGTAAGATGCATCTGATTCGGTTGTCACAGAGAGGGAAGCCAACCACCGGAGAGCTCAGCTTCTTGTCAGGAGAGACTCTTCAGAGAGAGCCACAGAGCGATGTGTCTGAAAACCCAGAAGCATGAACACGGATGGTCACCATTCACATTTCTTAGTTTACACATTAACAGCTATATATGCATATGTATAATATACAGCTAGAGCTTTCTTTATCAGTTTTGTGATGGTGTCATGATTTAACTATATCACTATGGCAAAGACACCCAATATACCTCTGTCATTTTCCCAACAACCTACACCAGCATTTAGATTCTTGCATGAATATATTGGAGGGCATCAATCACCTTTGAGTGAAAAATCCAGCAACAGATTCTTTCTTCTTATTCTAGTTCAGACTTTATCACCCTTTATCCTGCACTTGGATGTGTGGGTTAGTTTATACCTTTGTTGCTGTGATAAAACATTTACCAAAAACAACTTGGCAAGGAAAAGGTTTATTTCATTCTACACTTCCAGGTACCAGGTACCAGGTACCAGTCCATCACTGAGGAAAGTCAGCGCAAGAACTTAGGACAGGAACCCGGAGGCTGGAATTGAAGCAGAGACCACAGAGGAATGATACTTTCTCTATGTCACTTGCTCAGTTTGCTTTCTTATGAACCCTAGGACTCCCCGCCCAGGTGTGGCACCAACCACAGTGGTCTGGGTCCCTCCCACATCAATCACTAATCAAGAAACGCCCCACAGACTTGCTGACCAAGCAATATAATGGGGGCGTTTTCTCAACTGATTTGTTTTTCCTTCCCAGATGAGTCTGGCTTGTTGTAGGTTGATGGAAACAAACCAGGACAGCATGAGCAAACCTGCCTCCCTATGGAGGACTGGCCAGGATTACAATGCTCATGAAAGGAGGAAGAGCCTTGGGGGCTAGGATGGTGGAGACAAAGGCAGGGTTCTCTGCGTGGTGCGGACTGACCTCAGTGCACCAGAGTCATTTCGAAGTCAGTGATGTGGGTTTTCCCCAGTTCTTGGGTCAGAAAGAGCGGACAGCTTCCTTTGGAACAGACAGCGATGAACCAACCCGGGAAGGCTGCGGACTCAAATGTTGAGGTTGTGCCACTCTTGCTGTGATAGAAGACAGAGGGTTTTACAGGCTCCTTTTGGCGGTACAGTTCCAGTATGTCCTCTTTCTGGTGGGTGAGAAGGAGATCCCAGGAAGAAACATCACTACCTCAACAGTTCCCTTGTTTTTAACATCAGTCCCCAACTGTTAAAGCAGGTCTGGAGACTTCTGTTTCTTACTAGACTATAAGAACCACATACCCCTAATCTGTGTTAAGAGTGCAGTAGAAACATTGGGACACAGGTTTCAGCTTTGTTTGGTTGTCTGTAGTTTGGTATTGCTAATGTTTTGAGACAATTCTCTCTGTGTATCCCCAGTGCTGAGATGAGAGGCAGGTGCCTCCGTACCCAGATATTTCAGTCATTCTCCCCCCCAAGTCAGCCTAGCATAGTTGGTGAGCTCAAGATTTAGTGAGATCCTGTCTTTAAAATGATGTAGGGAGGGTGGTGGTGGCACACACCTTTAATCCCAGCACTTAGGAGGCAGAGGCAGGTGGATCTCGGAGTTCAAGCCCAGCCTGGTCTACAAAGTAAGTTACAGGACAACCAGGACTGTTACAGAGAGAAACCCTGTCTCAAAAACCCAATAATAATAACAATAATAATAATGATGATGATGTGGGGAGAGATAAAGGAAGAGAGCCAGTGTCAACTACTGACCTATACTCACATGTCTGCACACATACACATAGACACATAATCATGCATATGAATGCACACACACACACACACACACACACACACACACACATAACTCTAAAAACTTTCCTTGACAAAACTTCCTTTTGTAAAATAAAACAAAAAGTTACTTTGGAAACTACTTTCAAATACCCCTACATTTTTTGTTCTTGTTCTTCGGTGCTGCATGTACCCTTAGGGGAGCAATAAATTGATGTGAGGATAATCTGTGAACTGCCTTTTAAAAGATTTGGAAATCAGGGTTTCCGTCAAGTGGGAACTTTCTGGCCAGATGCGCTCCTCACCTGTGGCCAGTCGAGAACAGACCCTTCCTTCCTGAACTCACCTTAAGCTGCAGCACCGGCTGCTCTCCTTGCTTTGTGCAGGCCAGGCAGCACTGAGGCTCTCTCAGGCCCACATACATGGGATCCCCCCTGCCCTCCTCAAGAGCCTCCGGATATTGGCACGGGAGTAACGTGACAGTGACTGGGAATGCAAGAGCAGAAAGTGGGGTTCAGTTCTTACTTCCAAAGCAACACTCTAAGCTAGAGACATGGAAACAGTGGTTGGAATGTCCTTACCAGCCTTCATTTCACCTGCCACTCACCACCTGACTCACAGGCATGGCACTTGGGTGACTCTTTCCATTAGAGAAGCCAGCCTCTCATAGATTCAAAGATTGATCCCATAGAGCTTTCTCTGTCATTTGACTCTGAAACTTCTCAGATAAAAAGTCTTCCACCATTTCCTCAACCTTCCACTCCTCCCGCAGTCAGTCACCTCTGTCCCTTGACCCATCCCACAGCTGTCTGAGTCTGTTTGGCCCTCCATTCTAAACTGCCCATGAAATGCTCCTCCAGGCAAGGGCAGCTAACGCACGTGCAATGGAAGACTCAGGACAGACCCACAACATTAGCCGGATGGGCTGCCACACAGGGCCTGGGCTACTCACCCGGAACCGTTTGTTCTTTCCTAGGGACTGCAGTGAGGATGTCGTTATGAAGAACCCACACACGACTGTTAAGGTCCTGAATATGTCTTAGCCAAGGTTCTGCTCTGCTTAGGTCTGTAAAGGAAGTAAAAATACAGATATGTAAAGACAGAGGCACAGGGCCCTCCCCCCCTTTTCCAGTCTTCCATAAAGATCTTTACGTTTGCTTGTATCCATTACGGTGGCGATGTTTCAGAACTGCCAACCTAGCTCCGGTGTCATATATGTGCAGACTGATCCTAGGTGAGGAACAGAGTTAGTCCTAAGTCCCAGTTTGACCCCAGGTCAGAGGAACTGCTGACCACCTTAACAGCCAGTCAGACTCTCCTAACCCAAGTCTCACCAAGATCCCTCTACATCCTTAGACTCAGCTCATTGCCCAAGAAGCTACTCTACAACTTCCATGCAGGCCTGAGGTTTGGAAGGACACGGAGTACCAAGGCCAGACTCAAACATCAAGAGATCAGTGGTCAGTGACCGAAAGCCAGAAGCTGCTTCTCTACCCTGATTACAGAGGAACTGTGCCTGCCCACCACAGCCCTACCTACAGCTGCTGCTGTACCTGTGCCTGCCAACTGCGGAACTGCCGCTCCTACTGCGCTCAGCCTCTCTGACAGGCTCTGCTGCGACCCATGCCTTTTTATCCACAACATGAAGGAAGGAAGTTCTGCCTCAGTGGATCTCGGACTGCCTGGCACCCTAGATAATTGCTGGTTCCTTGTGCAGAAGGACTTGCTAAGTGTTTATTTGGAGGAAATGTCAATGTCAGCATGGTTGTGACCTATCAGAGTGCCTTGGGATGGGAGGGCATGCTAAGCAACAAGCAGGAAATACAGTTATGGATTCTGGCGGACTGAGGAAAGAAACAATGTGGGATTTCCCCAGGGTGGATGACTGGACTAGGAGTTGTAAAATGACGTACTAGAACATTGCTCATACAATAGGAGCCTGTAGCAAGTGCAAGAGCCAATGGGGGTGGGGGGAGGGGCAAGATGATGTCCTGCGTAGCTTCTAACCTGGCGCAAGTCACCTTGGCTGACTGGAGGGGATGCTCTACTTTCTCCCAGCCCTCACGCAGGCTGCTTCTCCGACAACACACTTTACCCGAAGCAGTGCCAGCTCTTGGACTGTCTGACCACACCTCAGCAGATTTAGCATTGCTTTGTTATAGGATAAGGAAGCCCGAAGGAACCTGCACACCCTGGGTTGCCCCCTTCCAGACCCAGAATTAGGCACAGACCACACCCAAACTCCAATTTCCCATACAAAGAGATCCTTTATTAAACAAGACAGGGAGACAAGGACCGGAATGGGCCGGAGACAGCACACATGGCTCTGCAAGAGTGACTTTTAACGGAAAAAGGGGAGGTCTGTGCGAGGACGAGCTAGGAAGGGTTGGTCGGTTCTGGTGGAGCATGGTGGTCAGTGCAGCCAAATAGGAAACTCTGATAGCTGGACTTGGCAGTTATTCTCAGGAAGGAGTCAGGCGTATGGAAGTGGCCAGATAGGAGAATGGACCTTGATGGCCAGCTTTAGGAATGTGGAATTGCCTAAATAAGAGAATCTAATGGTTCAGGATGGGGAGAAAGATGAAAAGAAGCCGTTTCTGGAGAGTCATGGGCACAGGTGCAAGGATCTTGGATTATATAAAAGAGGTGCACTCATAACTTCGCCGGGATGCACTTTCATAAGATTAAAGACAAAAGCAAAATAGTAAAGCTAACAACTAATAAACATGCATTTCCCTCAAGGAAACCAAAGACTGAAGTAGTAGGATGGAGAAGACGGTAGACAAGCACCCCCAATGCTGAATTCAGCGGGACTTTTAGGTAAGATGGCTGATTATAGGCTGACTCCGCGTGAGGCAGGAAGGAGTCATAATTTGAAGTAATAGACTTTATCTCAAGGAGAGAAATAGAGGAAGAGCCTTGGGAATCCAAGAAGGAAGTAAAAGGTTTCCTGAAAAAGCAAAAACAAAGAGAACATGTAGAAGTAACCTGAGTACAACCTCAGCCATAGAGTTCCGTGACTAGGGAAAGAGAAACAGACAGAGTTTCCAAAAGGTGAACGATCTTCTCCTTGGGGCAAAGCGCAGCCCTCACAAGCTTCAAGTGCAGTTGCAGGTTTCAGGGAGAAGTTGAGACAGCAGTGGAGGGAAAGCCTAGGAAGTAAACGATATTCCTTAGAGATCCTTCTCCCATACCAGTCTCTGTGCTGTTTGCTTCCCACACTCCTACCGTACTTGGGGAGACATCCCAGCTCAAGCATTAGCCAGACCCTGCAATGTGGGGAGCATTAGGAGCAGGAGATACAAGACCATGCAATGCAAAGCTAAGCACTGCCAGCAGGGGCTCCTGTTATATGGAGGAAGCCAGCTGCCACTGAGATGACAACTCTGGTGGACACCAGACACTCGTCCCGACTCAGTGCAGACTCATCGACTTGACTCAACTCAGCTGACCCTTAACTCATTCCTCGGGTACAATGGGAGTTCCCAATTTTTGAGGGCCCAGACAGCTAATCTGACACCACATTTTCTACTTTTACTTTTTGTAATTCCTCTCTCCACCTCATGTCTAGCAGGATTTCGATTTTGTTGTATTTCTTAGTAGAGGAGTAACACTACCATTTAAAACAGAAGCAGTCAATTCCAACTATTTCATTAGCCATTTTGATGTACCATGACATCTGAAATTAGATGAGTTTATTCTTCCAGTTAAGGGTAGGATACTGGCATACGGAAATGGCACTAAGTATCCCATGGAATATGGGATATGCAGTGAACACTTTGTGCCACCATTTGGAAACATTATCATTAACAAATGACATGAACTCTTAAAAATTTCAATGTTTCCCTTAAAACACTGAAAACTATAAAAACTGATAATGAAGTGGAGTGGGGAGACTTGGGTCACACAATACATAGTCATGTGCAAACAGCTCGTAGTTCCCTTGGCTCATTGAGAAAAGTTTTTAATTTTCATTTCTAAATTTGTTATTTTCTAGCCTTGTTCTCCTTCTTGTATCCTTCTATAACATTCAGCCGCACTCCTCTTCCTTTTCCATTCATTCATTTAACCTAGCTTCCCTATTTCTCCCTCTCACCTGTCTCCTTCCTTTATGTCATTAATTTACTATTCCATTGTTACACTAAATGGTTCTTCACTCCATAGCACATTCTTCCAGTAATTTTTCTTTTCTCCTTTTTGTGGTCACTGATGATGCATTATGATGTACTAGTGAGATATAGTGTTTGTTTTAAGTGCATTTCTGTACCCTGTATGGTATGATGTTTCTGCTACAGGAGTTTGCTTTCTCTTTACTGAGTAGTACTGGGGATTGCAACTTGAAGAGTAGGCTGCTCAATAAGAAGGTAATCTCCACTCATCCACAGAAATATGCAAACCAGATACACAGATTGCAACACAGAATTGCAAGAAGCATGAAAAACAAAGCAACATCATTTGTCCAAAAGATCATAACCACTGAACACAAAAATAGGTAAAATTCCAGTAAACTTTCAAAAGTTTACTTATAAAAGTGATCAAGGACTTGAAAGTGTACATAAACAATCAGGTGAATTCAATCTGTGACTTTTTAAGAGGAAAAAATCTACAAAATGAAATTTAAAAACACAGACATGTGCATGAAAAAGTTGACTACATGAAGGAAAAGCTCATCAAGAAAATTGACATTAATAAATTAGTTAAACAGAGATTAAAAGAACAATGAATAATATAAAAAATTGGTAACAGAAACTCTTTGCTAATCTGACAAAAAGAAAGAGGGAGAACACTCAAATTAATAAAATTAGAGATCAAAAGTGTCATGAACAAATGAGGTCTATAATATGAGTTCTATTATAAAGATAAAATTTATGTATAACAAATAATTATATACAATGTTTATAATAAATAATTTAGAAAAGGGGGTGTCATTATAACTGGATCCAAAGAAATACAGAACATTTGTAGAAATTACTATGAAAATTTATATGCCAGAAAGCTGGATAGGCCAGAAAATATGAAAGAATTTCTATGTGCATATCATCTACTAAAACTAAGCCCTGAAGATATGAACAACTTAAATTGACTCATTACAAGCAATGAGATTGAAGCTGTTATTAAAAATCCTCCTCCGTTGGTTTAACCCCCAGAAACAGCTGACCTGACAAAGGTTAACTCTTGAATCCCAGGCATCAGCCTGGGAATCCAGCATGGGACTGATCAAGACCCCCTGAATGTGGGTGTCAGTGAGGAGGCCTAGGTAATCTATTGAGCCTTGGGCAGCAGATCAGTACCCATCCCGAGTATACACACGGACTTTGGACTCCCATAGAACAATGTGAGGTGCACTCTCACCCTGAACTCTTGGGGAAGGGTCTAGGCCCTGCCCTGGATGAAATGACAGACTATGGACACCCCCATGGAGGGCCTCACCCTACCTGGGGAAATGAGGAGATAATGGGGGGCTTAGGGGGAGAGCATGGGAGGAGGGGAGGGAAAGGGAGAGGGACCTGGAACTGACTTGTGAAGCAACCTTGTTTCTTATCTAAATTTAAACTGAAAAATAAAAAAAAATCCTCCTCCGTTCAAAGAAAATTCCATAACCAGACAGGATTCAATGGAAAAAATAAAAACGTTGAAAATGAAAAATTACAATGAACTAAGTAAAAGATATAGTAGATAGCATCACCAATGTTCCATATAAGCAGTGGAAAAATATCAGGGATTGAGGGGATTTATGAAATGCTGCATCCTAACAACAATAAAGAAAAATAAATAAACGTATGACCACAATATCCAAGAAATCTGAGTTACCACCAAAAGACCACACCTGCTATCCACAGGGCAGAAGGAGCTGACACAAACACCAAAGTCATGAAGACTTTATTAAACAAAATAACAGCAGAAAATGTCTCAAGTCTGGAGATATTAGCAGACATTCAAATGTAAGAGGATTTATAGTTCAAATAGACAAGGCCAGGGTAAAACCTCCCCATAACATATTATGTTAAGATGTCAAAAATACAAAGTAAAGAAACAATATTAAAAGCTGTGAGGACAAAATGCTAACTCATCTAAAAATACGGAAACACAAGAATGACACCATATTTCTCATCATCAATCTTCAAAGACAGAAAACCATGGAATGATACCCTTCAAACCCTGAAAGTAAATAACTGCCAACCAACAGTGCTATATCTAACAAAACACCCTGCTTTTGTTGAAAATACTCTTTTCTCATATAATTTATCCTGCTACTGGCTCCCCTCCTCTGCTCCACCTCTACCCCCTCCTCCCCTCCCATATGGATCCACTCCCTTCCTGTTCCTCATGAGAACAGAATAGGCTTCTAAGAGATGGCAACAAAACACAACAAAATAAAATGCAATAAGATAAAACAAACGCCACCACATCAAAGTTGGACAAGGTAAACCAAAAGTAAGAAAAGAGCCCCAAGGGAAGGAGCAAGAATCAGAGACCCGCTTGTTCCCATAAAAGTACAAAACTGAAAGGTGTGATATCTGCTGGTAAGCCTGGTGCAGATCTGAGTAGGCCCCATGCTTGTTGCTTCAGTCTCTGGGTTTACATGAGCTTTGCTCGGTTGGTTTAGAAGGCTTTGTTCTCCCAGTGTCCTCCATCCCCTTTGCCTCCTCTTTTGAAGAGTTTGGATATGCTCTGTATTCATTTTAGTGCA